ACAAAGCAAAGCAAGGAATGGCTGGTTGGTGGTGAAGTTCAAGTTCCGTGTCACTGTGACTTTATTTTGGTTACAGAAGGAGCAGTCTGACTCTAGCAGGAGCAACATGGCAGTTTCACCGGACGGCTTCGTGTCGCAGGCTGGAAGTGAGGTGTGTCCGTGTCAGGAATGAGGACAAAACTGCTGGTTTCTGCTCCTAGCGACAAGGGAAAGAAGCTAATGGACAGCAGGTCTTCAGCAGGAAATGCACTGCCCCCCCGCCCCATGTTTGCTGCCGCGTCCCGTACACAGCAGGAGCTTAAAAGACGCTGAGCTGGACCACACTACCCATGCGGCTTCGCTCCGGGAGCTCCCACCCCGGCCTTTGGAGAGCATCCCCTGGATACTTGCACACACAGTAGCATTTAGAAGCCGGAATCTTCATGAAATCTTTGTAAAAACAGACGCAGCTCTAGACAACACCCCTTAGGCTTACCATCGTAGAGTTGAGGACAGGGGATGCTTTGATGCTACCTGAAGATGTACTTGAAACCTCATACTTAACGTTTAAAAATAGCATTTTGCATTGTTTTATTTAAGTAAGTTTGCTGTTTTTACAACAACGTTAGAAGTATTTACTAGAGAGGAAAACTCTCCCACTCTCTTACTCAGGTGGGAGAACCTTATTTTACTCATGGCTTTAAGAACACACCATCTTGCCCTGGCTGGCGTAGCTCAGGGGATGGAGCGCGGGCTGCAAACCAAAGCATCACAGGTTCGATTCCCAGTCAGGGCACATGCCTGGGTTGCAGGCCACGGCCCCCAGCAACTGTACATTGATGTTTCTCTCTCTCTCTCTCTTTCTCCCTCCCTTCCCTCTCTAAAACTAAATAAATAAAATCTTAAAAAAAAAAGAACACACCATCTTACTACCAAAGGACGCTAGACCTTCTTGTATTCCAAAACCCTTAGTAAAATTTTCTTTTCCTGTTAAAAAAAATCCCTTTGACACCTAGCTAATTTGAAAACCAAGTCCTTGTTAATTTCGAGTATACCTATTTTACAAGGATACCCTCACGATAATTCCCTAATCCAAAATGAATGTTCCAAAGGCGAGGATCCCAGAGACGACCGTAGGAGTGGATGGAGAGGTATCTGATCAAACACTGACGTTCTCTTCTGACGCCCATCAATATACCTCAGTTCCGAGGGGCCCACCCCAGACACCCCCCGCCCTCTGTTCCCACCGTCTAGCTGATACTCATTCTTCTGCTACCCAAAAGAATGATTCGTTTCTATTACGTACTTACTTCAACCCAGACATCCTGCTAAATGCATTGTAGGCTCGTCTCATTTAACCCTCACACCAGTCTCAGAGAAAGGCAGTGTTTTCATTCCCATTCTACATCCGAGAAAACTGAGGCTCGGAGGACTAGATACTTCACCCGAACCACGCAGCTCCCGCACGGTGGTTCCAGGACGTGAAGCCGTCTGGCTCTCAAATCTTACTCATTCCCGCGATTCCATGCAGCATACTAGATTCCCTCTATGGAGAAAGCCTTGGTATGAAATACGTGCTTTTATTTTTGAGATTACTGGCCAGTAATCCCAATTACTTTAGCCTCATTTTGTAAACTCTTTAAGTTCAGTCTCTAACCTCTTTGTGTCCCTTTAATTACCACCCATGTTTCTCTCCCTCTTTTTAAAGATTTCATTTGGTTTGCTTTAGAGAGGGGGGAAGGGAGGGAGAAAGAGAAGGACAGAAACATCAACGTGTGGGAGCTACACCCATCAGGTGCCTCCCACACACCTCCCCATCCAGGGACCAGGCCTGCAACCCAGAAATGTGCCCTCACTGGGAATCGAACTGGAGATCCTTTGCTTTGCAGGCCAGCGCTCCACCCACTGAGCCACACCAGCCAGGGCAATTTCACCCATATTTCTGAAAACCCTAAAAAAAAAAAAAAGATCTGATCAGATTAGCTGCCATTTAAAATAAAACAGTGTACCCTATAAACTCCAGAGTTTAACCTTTGCCATGAAGTGACCTCGTGGAGTCACCAGTTTGTGAGCCCAGTTTTCATCATCGTGAAGCTTTAGTTCATTCAACGGCAAGTCTTCCTGTCGGTCCGGATGGAGCTGTTTAAGGAAACTGCTTGTCTGACATCGCTTTGTGTTTAGACTTATTGAAGTTCAGAAAATGAGCACGCATTTTTTAAAGATTTTATTTATTTAGTTTTAGAGAGGGAAGGGAGAGAGATAGAGAGAGAGAGAGAAACATCAATGTGCGGTTGCTGGGGGTCATGGCCTGCAACCCAGGCATGTACCCTGACTGGGAATCGAACCTGCGACACTTTGGTTCGCAGCCCGAGCTCAATGAGCATGCATTTTTAAATGTAATCCTTCAGCAAATGCTGTTTTCTCCATGCCTACGCTTGCCTTGATTTGACATGCAGATCGGTAAATATCGCCATCAGATTCATAACACACAGGGAAATGAACTTGAACTTCGGCAGTGGTGGCGGTGGTGGTCCCCATTAGTTTGCAAGTCCTAGAGGAGATGAAATATTTAAAGTCAACATCTTTATCAACCCCCCCCAAAAGAAAGGGAAAGTTTCCAGCAATTAAAACACTGATCATATTATAAGTATGTTTTAACCCTACTTTATTTCCATAAAATTTAACTTTATAGTTCCTCTTTTATTCTTTTCTTTCAATATATCACAACTCTCTAGAAGTCCACATGTGTGTCTATACATATGTGTAAATATATATACATACACACAGAAATATAAACACTATTTTCTGTTCTTGAAAACTGAGCAATTTAGAGAAAATGTTTTCTTCAATTAAAAAAACAGTGTTTTTGAACCAAGCATTCATTAGCATTTTTATTTTTTTAAAGATCTTATTTATGTCTTTTCAGAGAGAGGGGAAGGGAGGGAGAAGGAGATTCAAGCACAATGCAATTTCCTAGAGGTGTATTGGTGCAATTCTGAATATAGCTGCTAAGTAATGGAAGGAAGGAAGGAAGGAAGGGAACGTAGGAAGGAAGGAAGGAAGGAAGGAAGGGAGGGAGGGGAGAAAGGGAGAAAGAGAGAGGGGAAGGAAGGAAGGAAGGAAGGAAGGAAGGAAGGAAGGAGAAAGGAAGGAAGGAAGGAAAGAAAGAAAGAGAGAGAGAAAGAAAGAAAGAAAGAAAGAAAGAAAGAAAGAAAGAAAGAAAGAAAGAAAGAAAGAAAGAAAGAAAGAAAGAAAGAAAGAAAGGAAGGAAGGAAGGAAGGAAGGAAGGAAGGAAGGAAGGAAGGAAGGAAGGAAGAAACAGACCTGGAGACAAGGAAACGCGGATTTTCAATGTCTTCACCAGGTAGTGGGTCACTTCAAAGACCTGAGTCGGAGGAGGAATTCCGTGGCTGACCCGTCCGGGGACTGACTGGCTGGATGGCCTTTGACCTCTCCACTCAGCCCACCCACCTCCGACCTTCATTCACCTTCTGTAACTTTCTCGTCTCCTGTAACTCTTGGCCTCTACAGTCGTCTGTTTGGCGACCGACCCCGTCCTTCCTGTGGGCTTCTCCCCTCCCTCCCCTCGGGTGGCCTGCGCGGCGTCACCGGCACTTTGTTCCCGGCAACGGGTCCTCCTTTGGGGGGCACTCTTGCCCTGCCTACCCCCAGTGCTGCCAGAGAGTCTGAATCAGTTGCTGAATCCAACGGAGGTGAATACAACCAGCGCTTACCTCCACCGTCTGCCAACACAAACCCACTCACGCACTCCCTCCCTTTCTCTGACACTGTCGACCCCACGAAAACACCGCGGCTTGGAAAACAGCGAGCAGGAGGCGATGCTAACCAGCGAACGCGGCTCTCGCCTCGGGGCGGTGGGACGACTCCTCAGACCAGGGACGGGCCTTCCCGGGATGGGCACCGAGCGCCAGCGTCCCGCCGAGCCCACTCAGTCCCCCGCAACGGCGCGAGTCGGGGAGGAGGGAGCCGCAAGGACGCGACTTCATGCGCTCTTACTTACTTCCAGCAGTCTCCAGCAAGAGGCGGCCGGGGGGTGGGGGGGTGGCGCAGGAGGCGCCCGGGGTTCTTTATTAGCCTCAATCCCCAGTGTACAAACATCCTAATTCAGCTTAAACAAAATAGCCCACACGCATTCCATCTCTACGGGAAAGTTTCCCTCCCGCGTCCCTCTTGCGCTCTGTCTCCCTTTCTCCTCCACCCCGGCGCCCCCCCCCCCGCCCCACTGCCCCAGTCGTTTCCTCCCAGCCTCATTTCCTCCCGCTTATCAGTCCTCCCCAAAGAAACCCCTGCTACAAACACCCCTTTACTCACGAATCACCAAAAACCAAGCAAACCCTGCCTAGGAGGCAGCAGAGCCCTCAGGGGGCGTGTCGGTGTGGGTGAGCCCCGGCGCGCCGCGCCCGCCCCTCCCAGCGCGCGCGGACTGCGCCCAAGTTCTGGCGAGCGCAGGACGGGGACCGAGGTCTCAGACCTGCTCCCTCTTGCAGACCGTCCGCCTCCTTCCGCGCAGTCGGGCCCGGCAGCCCCGGCACTTTAGAAGTGCCCTCGCTGCCCGGAGCCAGAGAGCAGCAGCCAGGGGGGTGAAGGAGGAGCCACGGGGCTCGCAACATCCTCCCGAAGGGCCAGCCCGCGCCCGTCTTCCTACCACCTTAGGGAGTTGGCACGGACAGCGGGATCACCCTCTCCATGAAAGGCAGATGTCCCTTTAAGGTTTGCCTCGCAGCTCGTGGACTTTAGCCTAAACACGGGCCCGCGGAGCTGGCTTTATTTGTCCATGTCTCGGACGGAGCCTGGGAGGCTGCCAGGCGCACTTCAGACAGCCGAGGCGCGAAGGGGCGGACGGCGTGGCGCTGCGTCTGGGCTGTGACAAGCGTGCGGCGGACTGAGAAGCACCGGGGATCCCTCTGCCGCTCCTGAGCGCTCCGGCCGGCGGGCCAGCGACGTAGCCCCGCAGCGGCGGGCGGGCCGAGCCGAGGGGCCCAGCGCGCGCGCCTCCCGCGCCCGGTCCTGCCGGGACTCGCTCTGCGATCCAGCGCGCGCTCCCCGCGCTGCGGCCGCTCCGGCCATGGGCCCCCGGAGCCCCGCTCGCCCAGGGGTCGCTGTCGCCTGCGGCTGGCTCCTCACCGGTGAGCAACCCCGATTTCCTTAACCATCTCCTGCGCGAGCGGCTCGGGCGGTGGGAGGGAGGTGAGCGGAGCCGTGGCGCAGAGAGCTGGGGGCCGCGCGGACCCACTCTCGGGCGCTCGGGGTCGGCTGGTCTCGGCAGTGGGAGGACGGAAAGAGTTTTCGCGTCCCGTTTGCGGACAGGAGTTTTGTAGTCGGTCTTTTCACAGCCCTCCACCCAGCGGAGGGAGGAGGAGGCGGTGGTGAAAACTCTACAAGGCAGACCTGACTTTCCAAGTTAAAGTTGTTTTGACAGTTTGCTCTGTATTTTAGGTCTGTGCTGCCGGGATTTTCCCCGCTCCTTTCTTTTGGAGGGAGGGAGTTCCAGGGCTCCTGACCGACAGGCAAAGTCCGTCCTCTCAGGTCGCCCAGGGGAGGGAGGCCCCGCGTTTTCTCGCTGTCTAGTGTTCCCGTCTCCTCGGCTGCGCGACTGCAAGAGGCTGGGAGGCGAGGCAGAACTGCTTCTCGCCCTGAAATGTGTTTCTGTGTTCGCTCCCGGGAGGAGGGGCCTTGGGGAACTGAGACAGGAATCGTGAACATTGGCTTTGTAAATATTACGGAGCTGACTTCTAGCAAATGCAAAATATAGTATTGTTATTTGTATAAATAGGCATTTTTGAGGAGGAGGGACTTAAAAAAAAACCCCACAGTGGATGTATGCAACGTAGAACAAGGTCAAATCCTAGTATTTCCTAAGGTTTTCCAAATGATTCACCCATGGCCTGATCTTCCGGAGCAGTCGCTGGTTTAGGAGGAAAAGTTGTCATGGGGGACGGGATAAGGCAGATGGTGCGGTTTGTGTCTTGAATGAAGTGACCAGGTTAATGTTTTAATTAGCGGCTGGCTTTCGCCTGTATCGTCGGTCTCCGATTGTTCAGTGTCTTCACTGCTGGGATGCTTCTTGGTACTAGTTAATTTAGCGTTTTACCACGAGAAACAGGGGGGATCCAGCTAGTTTGGTCTGGCCAAGCGTTGCTAACATTTATGAAGATTACTTAGAGATGGATTATTAGCAATCACAGCTTCCCCCCCCGCCCCGCACATAGCGAGATGGGGTGTGAAGAGAGTTCATTACCAGCTACTGACCCAGACATTTTTCCACGACTCAGGAAATGTCCAGTAACCCAAACAGTGGTACCTCCTGACCCGCCCCACAGCCGGTGAATGGTTTAATTTATCGGCTACCGTCACTGCCCTTTACACATCTGACCTGTGATGGATGCTTTTTCCAGCTCACATTCTTTGGAGGTCACTTGCCTGTTTGTGTTGTTGTGCAAAATCTGAGTAGCTTAGTACCTATTCAAATAGTAAAATAGTCCTTTTCCATTTTACCACATAGGCAGTCGCTGAAGCAGAGGTGGTCAGATGATGTTTGCCTATCCTCTGAAAAACAAGAATGAGGAAAAATAGACATTAAGAAGTTGCAATTTCATATATATTATATATGATCTTATTATGCATACATATAATTATTGTCTACAGATATATATGATGTATGTGTGTGTGTGTGTATATGTTGTATATATGGAGAGAGAAAGAGAGGTACTTTTTTTAGGTTCACCCACTTTATTTCTCTGTGCCTTAAAGTTGCATGTTGTGCAGTGGGCATTTTCTGCAATTGTTGGGATAATACGCCTTGCTGAGTCCAGGGAGGGATTTAAAGGAAAATAATACATAGATATTTTGAAATTATAATACTTCATTCCCTTTTGTGTGTGCATATGTGTATGTGTGTATATGTTAATCATATTGAAATTTAGAATTTAAAAAAAGTTACTGTGTCAGAAGCAACGGATTGCTCATGTGCTGTATTTATACCCATTTCACAATGCAAGGAGCCGAAGTCTGTCTTCTTTGCCCGGGCGGGTTTCCCAGCCGGCCACTGCACTGTCGGGTTCCTCGGGCCTTCGCAGCAGTGAGCAGGGCCCACACTTCCCCTGGGGCCTCATCAGCAGCCCTGCCCCTGCACAGGACTGTAGGGAGCTCTTCCCGTCTCCAGTCTGAACCCAACCTGAAATCCACCTTCCTAGCAAGTCATTTTCATTATATCTCGGTCTTTAATCACAAAAACGGTAGTTCTTTGCTGTCTTCGGGTAAAATCCCCACTTCTCAGCTGACCCTCCAGGGTCGGCCCCGATGTAGCGCCGCGTATCTCCGGGACTCTCCTATCGGTGTCCTGCCGCTGTTGTCACCAAAAGCCACCGATTTACTGGTTTGACCCGAGACACACTCACGACCGCACGGCTCTGCTGGCCAGAAGTCCCACTGGGCCCAAGTCGGGGCACTGGCGGCAGAGTGGTGCTGCCGCTGAGGGCTCCAGGGAGCGCCCTCTTCCAGCCTTCCGGGGCCACCGCCTGCATCCCCCGAGGCTGCGTGGGCCTCCTTCCGAGCCGGCAGGGGCATGTGGTCGGCTCTTTCCCCCCAGTCCTCGTCTTCATCACCTTTCTGTCTCCGATTCTGACTCTATTGCCTACGCTGATAAGGACGCCTCTCATTGCCGTGGGCCCTCCTGATTAATCCCGGACCATCTCCCCGCCCCGGGATCCTTAATTTAATCACATGGGGCAGGTCCGTCTTGCTGGGTAAGGAAACAGTTAGAGGTTCCCGGGATGGGGACAGGGGCATCTCCGGGAGACCATGATTCTGCACCTTCAAACCCTTGAACATGAACTTCCCACGACAGCAGTCGTAGTTTCTTATTGTGTCCATAATCCTCTTGCTCATGTTGCTGCTGTGGATTTGATCTTGTTGCTGGTTTTTTTTTAGATTTTACTTATTTATTTTTAGAGAGGGAAGGGAGGGAGAAAGAGAGAGAGAGAAACATCAATGTGCGGTTGCTGGGGGTCATGGCCTGCAACCCAGGCATGTGCCCTGACTGGGAATCGAACCTGCGACACTTTGGTTTGCAGCCCATGCTCAATCCACTGAGCTACGTCAGCCAGGGCTTGTTGCTGTTTTTTTAAAACATTTTTTTATTGATTGAGTTTAGAGATAAAGAGGGAGGGAGGGAGAGGGAGAGAGAGAAAGAAAAACATCAATTTATTGTTGCACTTATTGATGCATCCCTTGTGTGTGCCCTGACCGGGGATCGAACTCTCCACGTCGGCATATCTGGGCAATGCTCTCACCCAGCAGCTTGTTTTATGCACCCAGAAGACTCCACCCTTCCTTCCCACCACCCACTGTGGTCTAAACAAATTCTCCCCAGGCTTGCAAACTGGCTTTTCGTCACAAGAAGCCGCCACCATCCCAATACATGTCCATTAGGGTTAGCGTTTCCCAATATTTAAAAGCGATTCATTAGGAAAGACACCCTTCCTTATGTCCAAATGAAGTCATCATTGTCCTTTGGTGTCTGTCAAAGTCCCAGGAAAAAATCTAGTGGCACTTACAAAGGATTTCACTGAGGAAAGTTGAATAAACGGGCTTTTTACTGAGGGCCTGACAAGATGGGGGAGGGAGCCCCTAAGGCCTCACACACAAGGGGAAGAAAGGCCGTTACTGGTCCGGGACCGAAGAGGGCGCCCCGCCAGCCTGACCGGGAACTCTGGCTGTGGGAGGGGGTCCTAGGGACCAGAGCTGTGTCCTCAGGACCAGGAACGCAGCTGGTGTCCAGACTGAAACCCAGCAGGGAGCGAGCAGGGGAAAGAAACACTCCTTCTCCTCCCGGTCTCCAGTGTTGTCCCCAGCCCACCCACTGGTCACGCCCAGAGGCAGAATTCAACCTCCAGGGGGCAGAAAGACCAAACATCCGGCAGAGAAAAAGGCAGTATTTATCGACCCCCCATTACGTGTGAGGCCCTGTGCCCAGGACTTCGAGTGTGCGATTTCATTTCAACCACAGAAAGAGGGACATTTTTCGAACAACTCACCATATTTTCGAGATAAAGAAACCAGAGAGGTTAACTTAATTTATCCCGAGTCGCACAAAGAGTGAAGGGCGACTCCTGGGCCCCACTCAGGCCTCTGACCTCCGACCCCAGGCTCTGAAGCCACGGGCCACCGAGGCCATCTCAGTGTGAGCCCGTCTCCTGCGTGACTCACAGGCACACGGTGAAATCAGATGACCCCTGCCTTACACTATGTCTCTAACCCAAACGAGAGCACCTTCTCTGGTTATTTGGGACACAAACGTAGACACAAACGGCCCCTAACGACCTGACAGGTCTCCCCTTCCTAGAAACGTCGCGGTGAGCCTGGAAGCGAGGGTCTTCTCCTGGGACGCTGTGCACGGGCAAGGCCTCCCATTCGCAATGCGGCCCAGCGGGGCGGCGGCTGGATACGGGAGGGATTCAGCCCCCCACCTGCAACAAACACACGGCCTCCCGTGTGGCCACCGTACAGTGGCCGGTCAGGGATTACTCTCCAGGGCGCTAAAATACCTGTAAAGGCCGCGGTAAACCCACAGGACTTCCGCGGGCCTGCTGGTGCAGTAGGTAGGCCGTGCGGGTGTCAGGGAGATGCACACGCTGCACTCCTGGGCCTGTTCTGCTCCCCTGAGGCTACTGGGACGCGCGGGCTCTGGGGGCGGAGCCTCTCGCTGGGGATCTGACTTCTGCAGCCGCATGCTCCTGGGCCTGTGTTTCCCCGTCTCCAGCCCCACGAGCTTCCCGTCAGAATTTGAACTTGATGAATTTTCCTATGTCCCCCGAGACATTTCATAAGATCAGGCAGCCCATGTTTATTTAATATTATACAGAGTGGGGGAAAAGCAGGTTTACCGTTGTGAGTATGCAAAACACAGTGTATTCTTGTATTATTCATTAGTAGTCATTGTGTTATTTTTTCATACAGATAACAGTAAACCTCCTTTGCCCCACCTTGTGTATTCAGAAAATTAGGGATCGCAATGGTAATTTTTACCGACACCGTTCTTTTGTACGAAACACAAAACAGGGTCATTTCAATTCCTGTTAAACACTGAGACGAAAGATGCTCGGAAAGGTGCCACAACGCTGGAGTC